CCCCAAAACCCCAAAACCCCAAAACCCCTTGATTGTTGTATCTCATAAACTGGTTGAATTATTAAATCAAGATTAATAAAGAAACTTAGCCAATCATGATAATTTTCTAACTTTCATAACTATTGTTTCTGAGGTTAAAATTCCATGCTTAAAGAATTATTTTACGTAGATTAGATTCTTTGAGTGAGCATTCCAAGATCTATTTTTACGTTAGCATTTAATTCTTTTCTCTTTAATTTTTGTTTCTTGTTTCTAACGCTGAAAAAACCTGATTAATCAGGAGAAACTATTGTCTTTTACTTCGTAAATGTTGATTCTAACTATTGAGGAACTAGCAGCTCAGTAGATATGTCTTCTATTAAGATAAGACTATTTCTTACCTTGCGAGACCTTCGAGGACTGGTATTTTACTACTAGTCCTCTCTTGGAGAATTAGGAAGAGTTAAAGGTATCTTTCTCCTAGATGGCTTCTCTTCTTTTTAAGCTTTTGTATCTATCTTTTTGGGTCTTTAGAATGGAAAATCAAATTAGCTTAGATTTAAGCCCCCTGAATTCTTCTATTTTTTATCTTAGACTTCTATATCGGTCCTTTTAGTATTGATTGTTAGTTCATGCTGATATTAATCAATAATTGCTTCTTATGATATCACGGTTTAATTTTCAGCTCCAGATTGCAATCCAGGATGATCTCTGTTAGAGGATTAAATGTCTGTTGATTAATATGAAGCACTAAGAACAGAAAAGTTACTGAAAACTGGATTAACTAGAATTGATTGATTTAGTATGCTTTTTCTTTTGGGTCTTTGCTATGTGAATGGTTTAACAGAATCATCATTTCCAAATTGATTTTAAGCTAGTTTTAAATCTACAGAGGACTCATTCATTTTCTTTGGGCTTGGAAATGTTTGCTGCTGATCCTCATTATTAAGCAAGAATTTATTAACTTGCTTTCTAGATTATTGCAATAAAATTGTTTTTTTCCTTTCAAGAGGATTTAACTTTTCTGGAATAGCCAATTTTCTTTCTTCTTCTGCATTCTTATCTTTTGGTTTATTGCTTACCTATTATATGGTGAGATTCATGTTCTAAGCAAGTCTTCGCTTTTACTGTTCACCAACCAAGCTGCTCCCTTTCAAAATTGCCCCACCTGTGCTGGTCTTTTCCTTACCAGAATCTTAAGTTATATTTTATTTGCTTGATTACTTTGACTTAGATGGTTTGTTTTTCTTAATAAGTCGATCAAGATCTTCAATCTTAGCTGCATAATAATTCTTCTTCTCCTCTTTGCTTAAAATTATTCTCCTCTCTTCAAAAATTGGTTTGCCTTTCCCCTTTAACAAAATTGTTGAGAAATTCGGATTTTGGCTAATAATTTCTCTTAATTATCCTAGGAAATTTGTTATTGTTTCAAGAGTGTAAGCTTGATCTTCTTCTCTAACGGCTGCTGCTAAAAATTGATCAAAACTAACATTTTCAATAAATATCCCATTACGTTGAGCCTCCTCTATTATGCTTGCTAGTACTTCATCTAGAGGTTTCATTAGTGATTAATCTACAAAGAATTTATTAAAGAATAATGCAATAGTTTACATTTTTGGACCATTTAATTTTCATTTTTTACAATTTGATCCTTCCTTTATTGTTAATCAATTTGATTTTAGTTCTCATCAAAATCCTCTATCTATTCATTCGATTGTTATAGAGCTTTCTTTCTTGAAAGCTTATTCGTTAATCTCTTCAAAGTATTTTTCATCTCATTAAGTGTTTTTTCATCCATAAAGATTTCATCAAAATTTATCTACAGCTTGAATTTTTCATTCAATCTTGGATTCTGATCTCCACCATTTGCTGGATTTCTATCATAATCTCTTAGCTAATTGAATGCTTTTAGCTGAGTATCATATTAAATCTGAATTAAATCTTTGAATTTTCCGCATAATTAGTCTAAGAACATTTCAAGGCTGAGTACAATTTTTTTTTCATGATAATTTTCATCATCTTCATCTAATATATCTTTGAGATTCGTAGCATAGAAATTTTCAATGGGCAACTCAAGAGCTTTTTAAGGATCGTCACAACTATCTATTAATTTTTCATATTTAAAATTTTCATCCTCTGGCATTTGCATGTTCAAACAAAGATAGAGGTCTCTAACCTTAGACTTAAAATGATCAAAGAAAGCTGTCTCAACTCCTACATCTTTAGATTTTGATTTCTAATCTTCCTCATTTACATTCTATATCTTTAAAGTTTAGTCACTGCAGAATACTCTATTTAATGTCATTACATAATGAATAATGTCTATAAGTTAAGATTAATATACTATAATTACCTCTTAAATTGCATTCATCATGTAATCCCTTAATAAACATTAATCTTGCCATTTTAGGATTAATCTAAAATCCAATAACCTCATTTTTTTCATTTCCATAAACAATGTCAATTAGATCATGAATAGGATAAAAAAATTTATCAGTGCTTTTTCTGGTATTAAAGATTTTTTCTTTAGTGATTAAGTTTATCTTTTTAATAAGCTTTTCAACACTTATTTAATTAACTATTTCCATTTAAGCATCCTTAGGCAAATTTTGGTTAAGGGCTTTCTCAATCAGAGGTATCAAAAAATTTCCTTAGCGAAATGTCAATCTATCATCCTCATCTTTATATGCTTCAAAATCAATTGCATATTTATCATAACTATTTTCTATATTAGATCCATATCTATTCCTTTTGAGTGATCTTTGATGATTAATATTTTATTACCCTGAATGTATAGATGCTTGACTTTATTGTCTTTAATTTGAAAGTCTGGATGACTACTCTTCATTTCTTGCTACGGTAAATTCTGGTTCAGGCATTTGAAGAGTTGATTAAAATTTTGATTTTTTTATCTTTACTAAATTTTATGTATTTTTTCTTTTTAAACTTTGTCTTCCAGGAGATAATAAACTTTGCCTTCTTTACAATGGAAGCCTTTTTATTTAATCTTTATCTTTATCTTTATTTTTCAAAGTTCCATCAAGAGTTTCAAGACCTTTATAGTTCATTTGAATTTATTTGAACTATCTAACAGTCTCATTACTTATCAGTTGAACTCCCTCAAGTATATCTGCATTTACGTTTTTCTAATTATTGGTATTCAAGGTCGCGAAATTTAAAGCGTTATTACTATTTTTAGACTTTGGAGTGTTTTAGCCTTTGCCTTTAGATTTTGAGTTAGAATTTTATTTATTCTAATTGACTGTTACCCCATTTTATTTATTTATCAAATCTTATACGATCTTCTTCATTGAGTTAAAATTCTTCGCAATCGTTTCTAACTTATTATTAAATTCAATTATTTTTGTATAACCTTCTCTCAGTAGCATGTTAAACTAGGGTTGATTACCCAAAACACTAGTATGCTAATCCATAGTTTCTTAATCTATAAAGTTTATAAGTTAATAGAATTTTAGAATTTGACATGCTTAGGAATAGGCATACTCTTATACTTTTCCGAGTTATTCTTTGTAGGACTGAACTTTAAGCACGTTACTCTAAATTTCCTTTTTTTGATAAATTAATTAAGTTTCTAGACGTTTTACATCAAGTTTCAAAGATCTAATGCATTTTTATAATTATTTAATGTAAGCATCAGTCGCAGAAATGTCATTTTTTGTGTCTATATTGTCCATCCTAACCAATTCATTGATATCATCAAAAGGAATATGCTGGTTGAACAAAAATGATTAATAATCACATAGTTGCATTTCATATTGCTCTTTTATAGCTCCTATATTCATTTTGAGCTAAGTCAGTGCTCGCTAGAATAGAATTAAAATTTTTATATGATTTCTTACTTCTTGCGCTTCGGTGTAAAAATCAAATTTATCTCTTAAAACTTGCTCTCTCTTTTTATGATTTCTGTCTAATGATTGAATATGATTTTTGTATACAATATAGTGTTTTTTAAGATCCTCCTCAAACTACTTTGTTGTCATCCAGAGTTCATTAGCATAATTCTCGATGTCGTAGTTACTTAAAAGCTCTTGTTAATCCCATTCTCTTAAGAATGCTGTCAAGCGCAAAACTTCTCCTCCTGGTACTTTATTGCTCTATTCATTAACAACACTAGCTTTCTATAGTTAAATTTGAGGCACTTAAGATTTAAAACTTTGCTAAGGCCTATTTCTAGGACTTTCTGTTTTGATGTTCCATCTAGGTGAGCTTTAATCCTTCTTTCTATTTGAATTTGAACCAGTAAAAGTTGGTGAATCATACCCATTCCTTCGTGATGAATCCCCTTCTATATTTTTTCCTTAATTATTCTGATTGGTTGCGAATCCCAGAGCCTCTTAGACATTTTCAACATTCTCTTTCATTTCAGTTTCTTAATCTTTAATATACTTGAATATCATTCTAGTCTCATCTTATATGTTAGAGAGAAAATCTTGATTCATTAACAGAGATTCTGTTATACCATCAAGTTTTGTTAGACCATTTTATACCTTAAGTGTCTCAGAATACATAGCCTCTTTATTAGTTGCCATCTAGCAGAATAAGTTAGTAAGCTACTGACGATCATTGTTGTTTATGTTCATTGACATCATTATCCTCTTTAGCTGCTCTAAATCTTTGCTAATATCTATTTCTACACTGTCCCTATTAATTATTTTCTAACTAGGCATCATCTTCTGTTCTAATTGCTATTTTGGGTTTTCTAGGGAAGAAGACAACCTTTTCTTTTCCAATTTCTAAAAATATCACATGCTACTTTCTTTGAATTTAGAAAATACTTAATGACTAGGATCTTAAGTCATGTATTTGAGCATCAAAATCTAAACCTAAAGGATTAAGGTGAATGATAATTTATATGAAAAACTTGAAACTTACTTATTCTACGCATCCCTAAATATGCGTTTGCACTTCAGATGAATAAATCATCTACTTAAACCATTCATTTAGATGATATTAGTAGATTGAGGGCATTTAAACTTTTTCCATCATATCTCATTGCAGGTATGTCCCTAGGATCCAAGTGATTGACTACCTGATCTCAGACTTCTTTTTATCAACTATCATATTTCTAAAGTCATCAAGGGGATGCTTGCGATTGCTTTTCATTGCTTAATAATTTCTTAATTTTTGTAATTGATTTAACTTTTCATAATTATCTAAATAATAAAAATTTCAGGTAAAACTTTGATTTATTTATTTAGATTATCAAATTCTATTTTTGATTAATTTTGTGTCATGGGGTTTTGGGGTTTTGGGGTTTTGGGG